TCTAAAATGAGCCCAACGCTTCAAGCTGGCTGCTTGTTCTCTTTCAGGTCAGACGTGTTCGGACTGTCGACAAGTGCCTCTGTTGTTTTCCTCTGCCGGTCTCTGTTTAATGGTGGATGAAATAAAGAAAGTGGCGGTACTTTATTTACTTTGAGCAAGCGAACGTCGTGCTCACAAGATAATTAATCCACCAGATAATTCAGAGGCGATCTGTTTGGTTTGTGAGTTTTACTCCATGAGCTACTAGGTTTGCAAGCTACGTTCAGACTGAGCTCTGTTTACTGAACCAGCAGCTGCTGACGTCATTACACTATTGCGTGATGCTGCGTTCAAGACAAACACGGAAAAACTCACCACTCTTACGCCAATATGGTCACTATGATGCGTTTAGGTACCGAAACATGGTACCGTTTGACGTTACATGAATAGGTTCTCGGTAGTACCGACAGAATTTGGTCGGTACTTAAAAAGTATCGAATTCAGTACCCATCCCTAGTCCTCATTTACCCATTCACACAGCAAGATCTCACTGCAAAGCTAAAATATACAAATCAATCTATAGAGACTAATCTGCGCTTCAAATCACATTCATTCACTGATGGGACGCACATCAGAGCCAGTGGGGGTTCAGTGTATTGCCCACTGACACTTTGACATGGGACTAAATTGCGGGGAATTGGACTGCCAACTCTCTGGTTAGAGGACAACTTCCTTAACCACTTAGCCACAGCTGTCCGCAATTTGATTAACTTTAGTGGCCATTTTGAACTGGGTTGACTCCAAACATTAATCAGCTGTAGATGGACATTATAGAATAGAATAGAATAGAATAGAATAGAATAGAATAGAATAGAATAGAATAGAAACAGCTTTTACTGTCCCACGTGAGGAAATTCAGGAGTATTAGAGCAGCAGATAGATGCATCAATCCACAGAAACAGTATATTGCTATGTGACATTGTCAACTGTAGCAATAATAATTGAATTAAAGATAGTAACAATAAAAAATAAACATAGATCAAAATAAAAATAAGAATTACTGTACCCACAGTTAAGGGCAAAATCATTATTGCTCCATTTTCAACTTTGATTAAAATATTAACAATTTATGCAGATTTTGTATGAAAATACTTTGGTAGTGACTGAATGGTGGTCCAGTTGGCTAGCACTGRTACAGTCCTGAGTTTAGATCCTGTGTTGGGCCCTTCTATGTGACACATCTATGTTCTCCCTGTGTTATGTGTGGACTGTCTTCWGGTTTTGTAGCACCATGAGAAACATGCATGTTGGGTTAATTTGTGACTCTAAATTGGCCCCAGGTGTGAGTGAGAGTGGTTGTTTGTCTCTTGGCTTCTCAGCCCTGTCATCTGTAATTTGTCTTGGGTGATCCAACTGGACGTGGACGGGAGCAATTACACCTGGCTATTTAATGTGTACCCCTAAATGTTTTTTTTGATTGGATGTTAATTACTTGCTCTGTATGCACGCACGCACAAACACACACACACACACACACACACAC